AATCCTAACAGCAGGATAAAATTTGGTTAATTGGCAGATGTGTTACCTACCTACCATTCATGGGTATAACTAGGATGGGGGTCAGCATGAAGGAATTACCCCCCACCCCCCATATACTTACTAAAGAGTGAGGCAGTGAAAACCATTTACACCTAAAATTCTTGTGTTTCTGTGTTTGCAATCCCTTGATAACTTGTCCTGCCTAAACTGCTGTGATATACTCTGTGCTAATCAGAAGCAAGAGCCCTGTTACAACTTCTTCTCAACCCACTGCATCTCACTGGTAGGAGGGGGCTGGAAATATTATCTTGTAGAATGGCCAATGACCAGCAAAACAGAGATCTCTTGCTCAGTGTGGTTGCTGGCTGTTCAGGTAGTTGGATCAGGAGATGAAGTAGTTATGAATCTTAACCTTTATTTGGGAGGAGGAGTTATTTTTTGGGAGGGGGGGCCATGTCTAAACAATTAATTATACTGTTACCACCATCTTTCTTTGTTCTGAAATGTATAAACAAATGAAACATCCAAGAGAAGAAAGCATTTATTTTTAATTAAACACTAAAGAATAACAGATAAGAAAAAAAATATGGGCCAAAAAGGCATACGGAACACAATTCATTTTTTTAACATACATTTAATTTGATCTTTGTTAATAAACTCTTGTTCACAAAGGCAGTTTTGTGATGTTGCCAGAAATACAACAGTTGTACTCTTGAAACTATGAGAGAGGAGAAAAAGAAATGTGTGTGCCCAAAATCAAAGGGAAAATATCCAAAATATCCAAACCAGTGTTCAGTTAGAAAACTTGTGGTTCTCCAGAAGTTGATTATATGGCAGTGTAGACTCATGTAATCCAGTTCAAAGCAGGTAATCTGAATTATCTACTTTGATCTTATGGATTATATGGCAGTGTAGATCTAGCCTAAGTCTTCCAGTGCAATTCTGTAGTATGTTCCCAGCCCATATATAGTCCAAATATAGGGTTCATTGTCAGCCACAGTTTGAGGTATCCATGGAGAGTCTTTGGAGCATAACCCTTATGGGAAACAAGGGTTATATTGTTTCCATAACTAAGATATCCCAGAATAGATATTTATCTCTAGAAAGGATCATTCAACCCCATCAAACATTGTTTATTGTTGTTATTTTAAATAACATACATTTAATAAGTGCATGTAATCCCTCTATATCTTCTTCTCATTCTTATAAATAAGCCAATGAGAAGGACTTATTTAATTAATTGGAGAAAGACTAAAAACACTCTTTGCTACCAATAGGAGACAATAGCCAAGTGTTTGCACTTGTATTGATATACATTTGGTCCTTAACTTCTGCAAGTATTGTGGCAGCAGGATTGCTGTGAAAAGCATGATGTTCTTTCTAAGCATTTCTAGGTCAACCAGCACAAATCTATGGTCAACATATAAGGCAGCAAAGAAGGTGGCGGCAGATATAGTAATCTTTGAATAAAGGGATGACTATAATGACACAACCACCAGGAGAAACAATTGTCTGCAAGAAGCAATGAACATGTGGCAATTGTAAAATATTTCAAAGCTGCGCCTACATTTGAAAATGTTGCCATTATATTGAAAGAAGAAAGCTATCCAGAGTTCCAAAAAGTTACTTTTGGGGAGCATAACTACTGGAACACATTCCACCAGCTATGCTGATCTGGGATTTCAAGTGTTATTACTCAAAAAAGTATTTTTTTTTTCAAATTTTGGAGTTTCTCAAAATTATGGGCAGTAGATAGCCAGAAAAAACAATTTGGGCATCTGGATAGATCAGGAGAGCCAAAACTCTTCTGGAAAATCTTCATATTAATGGCCCAAAAATTGTCTAATTTTTCTAAAATAGAATGCAAATAGCCTAAGAAAGTCTTTGTTTTTTCCTATTTTTTTTTTAAAAAAAGTAACTCAGGGAAAAGTGTCCAGCAGCATAGTTTCCTGACATATACATATTTTGTGTCTAGTGTTTGGTTTTGTTTTGATTTTTTTAAGAAAAAAAACTTCCTCATAGTTCTTGCTAGTACAAGAAAGCAACTGTTCAAGGCTGCTTGAGAATAAGAAAGGTAAAACATAGGACAGCTGGCTCACTTGCCATTGACCAACCTTGTCTTAAACCTTGAGGAAAAGTGAAGGATCAGTGTTATGAACTTCAGCATTGGAAGTGGGAAGTCATTGTTCTAGCTCTAAGAATCGACCCAAGGGATGACAGTCAAAAAAAGGTTCACACAGGTCTTAGCAAAAGTTATTTTTGGAGTTACAACTTCCAGAACTCTCCAGTCATAAGCCATGTTGGCTAGCAGATTCTGAGAGTTTACTCCAAAATATCATTTACTCAAAGCCTGATACTTGGTATACTTTAAGATGTAGCAACTGAAATCAAGTGTACCAGTGGGCCATATCACTCACTGTATTTTGAGTACAACATCCACCTTTGTAAGAGAGCTAATGTGGTGTTACAGTGGCATCGGAGTAGAACTCTGGAGAGCAGATTTCAAATCCCTTCTCAGCCATGGAAAACCTCTCGCCTTGGTGTCCTTGAACAAGTCGCACACTCTCAGCCTCAGACGGAGGCAAATGCAAATCCCCTTTGACAGGCATGTAGCCGGGGGGGGGGGGGGCTTGAGGGGCTTCAGCCCCCCCCCCGAAATTCTCATGGTGGTTCGCAAAAAGGCCTTACTGGTGCATTATTTAAACTGTTATGTTTATTCATATCATGATCTGATCACCATACTCAATATATCCCATATGCATGGGGGTATTGGGGTAATGATACAAAAGGTTTGCTAGGGTAGACCCTCTTTCACTCAGACTCAGCCCCCCCCCAAAACAAACTCAGCCCCCCCCCCCCCCCTGAAAAAAACTTCCCCCCCCCCCCCCCGAATTGAAATCCTGGCTACGGGCCTGCCCTTTGAACAAACCTTGCAGAGAAAACTCCATAATAGATTCACCTTTAGAGCTGATTCACCATAACTCAGAAACAACTTGGAAGATACAAACCTGCTGTAGTTTTTGGCTCATGCCTGGAAAGATGTGAAAGGTGTCTTGCTTTATCCGGAAGCTGTGTTTAGGTACAGCGTCTGGCTGAGTGATTGCTTTATGGCAAAGCCAGGTTTGCCTCAGTATAATGTGTGAAATGAGTAAATGACCTAGACTACCCCTGAATAATTTCCAGGGAACTGAATATAATACTGTTGATAGTATTACACTATAGTGCTAGCACTCTGTGTTCTAGTTCCACAAAGAAGGCGACCAGGGAGCCTTCAGTCTGGGCTTCCCTAGAGAAAACCGTGAGAATGAATATACTTATTTTCATTTTGAAAAACCAAACAAAATTAACCCTGTTTCTGTTTGTTCCTAATAGTAGAGACACATTCTCACCATAGCAGCAGATGTGAAATGTGAGAGAAAGGTTGATAGTACAATTTCTTGGATCAGTATGAAACGATACAGGATCACCCATCCTGTATACTATGCAATCCCATGGCTGTATCCACATGGCAGCATTATAGCAGTTTGGTACTGCATTAACTGTCATGCCTCAATGCTATGAATTTGAGGATTCGCAGTTTTGTGTGATATTTTCTAGTCATGTGCGAAAAATAAAAAAGGTTTCAAAAGTCATTACAAAATTAGGGGTGCTGATGTTTCATTTCTAAAGTGTTTCTAAAATACAGTTACTAAAACGTTTGTTACTTTAATGAAAGTAACTAAATTCAAATTTCACTACATTTTTGTTACAGTAATTGTGCATGTGGGGAAACTTCAGGGGCTCTTTTCTCCCTCTTTTTTTTTTTACAGCTATTGGGGTGAAACTTGCTACAATGGTAGAACACATTTACCACTGTTAGCCCATCAAGTTTCAGAACGTTTCACTTATCCACAGATCTTCGGGGGAATTTTCAGTTTTTATAAACAACATTTTTTAAAAAGAAAAACACACAAGAGCTATCTCCTTGAATTTTCTATACAAAGATAACATGGGATCATTCCCCCCAACTTTTGGAAATATTCATACAGCTATCTCATTGAATGTCTCTCATATTAAGCAACAGAACTTCCATTTAGGGATTTCTTCCCAGTCCAGCACAGAGATTTACTTACTACAAGTATAAGTCAGTCCTCCTCTTTGCATATTCAACAATTTCTTGGAACTCTGGCTGGCTGCTGCTACAGAGGGACAAATCTCTTCCCTATCCTGACTGGGGATTTTTGATGCTGAACAGAATTCTGGGACATGTAGTTTATGGCAGGGCCTTTTAAATTCTCTGCCATAGGGTTCCTCACCTTCCCAAACTACATGTCCCAGAATTCTGTGCTTTCTTTCGCAGTGAACTTTGTTTTCTCCCTGCTGCTTCCCTCTCATAATGGAGAGGCCATTCATTTAAAGTAGGAACGCAGCCGTTTTGGATTTGCTTTGCTTCCTTGCTCTGAAAATGAACGGATTTGGGAGGCTTCCAAGGTTTACAAAATTCAAACAAAAAAGTATTGGGTATGTTTTGATTCCTTAGTTTTTGGTGTGGGTCATGCCTGCGTGTCAGATATTGTGTCATAAGAATAAATTTTGGGAATTTGATATGACTTACAATGACTAACAAAAAATGTGCACACGCCTAATATTTACCCTTCTCCATCAAAGAACTCTGATATCACAATAGGATCCCATAGGATGAAAATATAGCAGTTACAGGGGTATCAAACCGCTATCTTTCAACAAATGTGGATGATCTACAATTCCATTTTCATTGGCCTGGTTTTATCCTATAGAATCCTGGGATTTGCAGGAGCATTTAGTGTTCTCTGCCAGAGCCCTCCTCTGGACCCATACCAAACTGCCAATCCCAGGTCCCATGGCAAACAGAATGGAATCAAAGTCCCGCCGTTATTTTGCATGAAATGTGGTTCGACAATGTGATGAACATCACAGCATATAATATGCTCTGTCTGTATCAAAATGGACTCACTGAATAAGAAAAAAATAGAAAGGGACAGTGAAGGAAAACAATTATTTATTTATTAGAAATATGAAGGACCCTGATGAACCATTTTATTTTCTTCAAATATTTGGGATACAAGAAAGCACCGTTGTGGTGTAGTGTTTGGAGTGTTGGGTTCGGACGCTGGGAGAGAAGGGTTTGATTTCCCCTTGGACACTGAAACCCACTGGGTGATCCTGGGCAAGTCATAGTCTCTTGGCTTTGGTGGACGGCAGTGGCAAACCCCTCTGGATAAACCTTGCTAAGAAACCCCCATACACTGGAGTCAATTTGACTGCTCTTAACAACAAGCATGTCCAGATGGGAACAACCGCCTCCACATATTCGTTCAGCAGAGATACGATTCCCCTAACACTCCAGGGCAGCAGCACCTTTGAGCTGTTTGGAGGAATATGTCATAATATGACCTTCAGAAATGGCTGCATTGACAAAATGTGTCTTTTCTAGGCATTTCCGAAGTCCTCTAGTAGTCTTGCACCAGAAGTCCTTCATTTCAATAGGTTTTGCTATTATCCCCGGTTTTATCTCTCCATGCAAAGTTTAGGAAAGTAAACCCCGTGGATATGGGGAGGGGTCATGCTGTATTGAGGATGATAGAAAGTAAATCCATTTTTGGAGTACTGTATGATCCATCCATATGGGAGTGGGAGTCCCTACACAGATACAGACTTGCCAGTTTAAAAGATTGAGGATGCATTCACACTGTGGAATTAATCCAGTTTAGCACCACTTTAATTGCTGTGACCCAATGCTATGAAATAATAGGAGTTGCAGTTTTGGAAGGTCTTTAGCCCTCTTTCTCAAAGAGTGCTGGTGCCTCACCAAACTGCAGCTCTCATGTTACCATAGTATTGAGCTACAGCAGTTAAAGTGGTGTCAAATTGCATTAATCCTACACTTTAGATGCACCCCAAACAATGCCAATGTGTCAGTAGCTATCAAAAAAAAATACAGAAGATTGTATAGGGGGAAAATATAACTAAAAACATTTTCTCTCTGTACAATGTTAATAACTCTATAGGAATACATCTTTATTTTTTCTATAAACATAGAATATCTATATCTCCTGCCCCGCGCCTGCAGTTCTCATATACTCTCATTCCCCAAAATACAGAGTCAGCATTTGTCTTTGAAAAATACTGTACCAAAAAACAAAACAAAACAATCTCTAATGATTTCTGTATAACTTTATACATTTTATAATAATCAGTTTCTTTTGGTCTTCAGAAAATATTTATATGGATTGGATTAACCACAGTACAACAACACCATCACCTTTCAATATATACCTGAAACTCTTACATTCATTTTCACTGCCCCCCACAAAAATAGTCCAATTTATAATATAACACAAGTTTAGAAAGCAAATCAAAAGATAAAAACAACAGGAAAAAAGCTCAAGAACCACCAGCTCATGATACAATCAAAACAACAATGCAAGGGAAAAGGAAGTGGCAAAAGTATCTTCTGACTGAGTAACGTGGAAAAATAACCGAGGAGGAGTCCACAGAAAACATATTACAGAAATGTTCAAAAATGTGGATCACAAAACCAGGACTTTGGGAAATTCAAATGTGGATTGACACAAAAAGAATTTAAAAATCCCTATTCACTGCTTCTTTGAATATTTTCATTTTGCTCTCTTGCCAATGAGTTATTGTTCATGTACTTGCTGTCACCTGGATTTAGGAAAGACATCCTCACACCCACAGACACAAACGGACCATCGAAGGAGTGCATTGGGGGGACTGAGACTACTTTATCATTTCCCTACCAATGGGATCAGTATGACTACAAATATCTGGAACATCATCTGTCAGTGGAGAGGCAAGCATGACCTTCACACATTGCTGAACTGCAATTTCCATCATCCCTCATGCTTATGGGAAGTGAAGCTATCACATGTCTCTTATTATAAGGGACAGCCCTTATTTGAAAGTTGAAAAGCTTGTACCTTAGAGGACTGTCTGGTACCACATATAATATGGGATATCTCCCACCTGGAGGTTACAAAGCGTTTCCTTTTGTATAGTAAAGGTAAAGGTTTCCCCCTGACATTAAGTCTAGTCATGTCCGACTCTGGGGACATTTCCATTTCTAAGCCAAAGAGCCAGTGTTGTCTGTAGACGTCTCCAAGGTCATGTGGTCAGCACAATTACATGGAGCACAATTACCTTCCTGCTGAAGCGGTAACTATTGATTTACTCACATTTTCATGCTTTTGAACTGCTAGGTTGGCAGAAACTGGTCCTAATAGTAGGATCTCACCCCACTCCCCGGCTTTGAACCGCCGACCTTTTGGTCAGCAAGTTCAGCAGCTCAGCAGTTTAACCCACTGTGCCACTGGGGGGTCCTTCCTTTTATATAGACTACTATATATACTTGTGTATACGTTGGCCTCAAGTCAAGGACAGATACTGTGGCCAAAATTATACATTTTGATATGACCCATGGATAAATCAGGATGTTTCTAGCCATACTGATCCCATTAGCAGGAAAATGAGAACCCCATGATAGACTTGCCTTAGTGCTGCCATAATTCAGAAATGGCCGTGTTGATTTTACGTTGCAATACATGCCAATGGGAACTGAAATCAATACTTTCATTTGGCATTTCAGTAGAAAACAAACTTGTTAACAGCGACCACCTCATTGTCAATTATGCACAACTTTAATTTTAGTTTTCTCTTATTACTCTTTTGAAAACCTGGAAACACTAATGAGAGTTTTAGGTGAATCCAAGTTGCCCACCCCGCTGGAAATGAGAGCTGGTGGAAATCAACAAATTCAGCAGCAACGCATGTCTCTGAAGCTGGCTTCACATCAAGGCAAAGACAGCCAATGTTTGATGGTGCCAAAAATTGAGGGCAGCTTGATTTATTCCAGTTTCCGTAACTTGCACTTTTGGAGGAGCCCAGCATACTGTGGAATGAATGTAGTTTGATACCACTTTAACTGCCATGTCTCAATACGTCTCTGCCAAAGAGAGCTGATGCCTCACCAAAGTACAATTCCCAGGATTTCATAGCATTTAGCCATGACACTTAAAATAATGTCCAACTGCATTCATTCTATAATGTAGATGCATCCTGAGTGTTAACCTTGCCTGCACCTCAGTGATTCCTTGAGGCATAAATAGAGTTGTAAAGAAGTGTAGAAGAAGCCAAGGGTGTTACATTTTTAGAAACGTCAGTCCTGGTGAATAGTTCCTAATTGAAAATTGTGTTCAGCATAAGATAAGAATGCAAGGGGAATTGAAAATTTTAAATGTGCCTATGGTAGTGGTTCCCAAGGAGCCCCCGGTGGCACAGTGGCTTAAACCCCTGTGCCGGCAGGACTGAAGACTGACAGGTCACTGGTTCGAATCCGGGGAGAGGCGGATGAGCTCCCTCCATCAGCTCCAGCTCCTCATATGGGGACATGAGAGAAGCCTCCCACAAGGATGATAAAAACATCAAATCATCCGGGTGTCCCCTGGGCAACGTCCTTGCAGACGGCCAATTCTCTCACACCAGAAGCAACTTGCAGTTTCTCAAGTCGCTCCTGACACGACAAAAAAAATGTGGTTCCCAACCTATGGGTCCCCAGGTGTTTTGGCCTACAACTTTCAGAAATCCCAGCCAGTTAGGATTTCTGGAAGTTGAAGGCCAAAACATCTGGGGACCCACAGGTTGAGGACCACTGTCCTAAAGGAAGAAAAAGCTTGGACTGGCCATGCAAAAAAACCTCTGGGATCCAGGCTTTTCTCCCCTCTGGCTTTCAGGAATTTTTAAAAACAGCCTATCTAGGAGTCTTTACAAGTTTTGTTTAAACTAAAACCCAACAGTTCAAAGTTATTTGATTCGGTACGGTAGTGAAGTCATCCTACGTCCACCAGGAACACCACAGTCAACATGCACCAGTGTACATTAGAGTTATTGCTTCAGTTCAGGCAATAGATTAAAAAAAACCCCTCTCAAAAACAACCCACCGGCTCTCTTGTGATCTGCCTGTAGTACTCATTTCAATTTATTTCAGGGTTCATGGCAATGAAAGGAAACATAGCTGTTCCATCTGAGATCTACCAGCTGGAGAACTACTGACAGCAGTAGGAATCTGAAAATACATTTTATTACCAAAACATAAGGGCACAGAAAGAAACCGACAAAAGGGAAGCAAGTCTATAAATTAATATTTCTGCTGTGTAGCATTAAAATATCATTTGTGCATTTTTGTATTAGCAAGTTAAAATTGTCTGATTAGGCATATTTAAACAACAGCTTGAAAAGAGATCTCTCTCTTTCTCTCTCTCTCTTCTTGTTTCTCCTCTATTTATCCTAGGGAGGCTTGTTTTAATTTTTTATATTTTTCCAATTCTTCCCCAAGGAAAAATTAGAGGATGGCAAGATATTTTTTTTTAAAAAAAAACAACCTACTTTGAAGCAGCAGTGGGAAAAATATACATATATATCTTTATATATTTATTTATGTAGTAAAAAGCTGAACTGTGGCATATCTCAGTTGTCCAAGTGGAATATGCCACCCTGTTTCGAGGGTTTCATACAAAAAAAAATTGGAAAGTGCTGAGATACACATGCACCCTCACACACATACACACATGCCCTCCCTGTCCCATCCCACCCATTCACATGCACACACAAACAAACAAACAAACAAAAAGTTGTACATTGGTTTTCTTGTTTCTGCGTTCCGGTAAAGTGCTGATGACTGAAAGGTTGGTTTGGGTGTGGTGCTATCGAAGAGGAAACACACTGTCCATCTATTCATCAAATGTCAACTCACCAAAAAGAAAAAAAAGGCAGTGGAGGGGAGGAAAAGAAGGGAAGTGGAAGAGAGGAACGAATGGAAAGGGAAGTGAGGAGGATGCCATTTACAGAGGGCCATGCCGGGCTTCGTACTTGGCAAGGACATTCTTGCATTTGCCCAGCTCTTTCCGTAGGTCAGCCACCTCCTGGCGGAGCGCTGTGTTCTCCTTCTCGAGGAATGAGGCGCGGATGGCAATCTGGTTCTCCTTAAGCCTCCGGGCATCGCGGGATCGCTTGGCAGCCATGTTGTTCTTTCTGCGTCTTGCCCAGTATTTGTCATCCTGCTCATTAAACACAGAGAGGCAGAAAGAAGACATTAGATTTCAGCAGATGAAATGGTGCATCAGGTTTCCAGAATAGAGTTTCAAGTTTGAGCTGTATGGTCAGCCTTCCACATTCACTGGGGTAAGGGAAGAGGACCCTCCGTAAAAGTATTTCTATCCATTTTTTAAACTTCAATTCCTTCCTGGGCTTTTCAAGGCCACACATATCTTTAATTTAACAAATGACAAAGGCAATTCCTTTAATCCAAGCCTGAAAGAAGTAGGGCTGGCATCTGAGAATCACATGCACCCCAGAGACGACTGACTAGCCTAATCTGCTTACCCCCTTTCCGAACCCAGTGGCCCAACTATCAAATGGGAATGGCGCTGGAGAAGGAAAGCTCTGGCCCCACATCCCACCAAAAGCCATGGGCAATATTTATGCCACCCCAAAGCAAACTCCTCTTGGCCATCAGAGCTTTTGAACAACAAAATACATACAACACAGAGAAGATCTCAATAAACATTTCAAAGCTTTTTTTCCCATTTTTAGCCCCCCCCCCCCCCGCCCCAGTTTCTTCACATGCAGTGGATCCTGGGTATCCAATGTAGAGTGCTTCCAGGGSCCCCTGCGGATGCTAAAATCAGTGGACACTCAAGTCTCGTTATATGTAATTGTGTAATAAAATGGTGTCCCTTATATAAAAAGCCATAATCAAAGTTTACTTTTTGGGGTTTTAAAACATTCTTTCAAGTCATGTATAGTTGAACCCATGAATACAAAATCTGTGGACACAGAGGGACAATAATACATGCAGAGTCATGCAAACATATTTGTCTTTCTTGAATGAGACTAATGCAACACATTTCACTTCCTGAGGCAGAGATTTACTGGTTTCCTCTTCAGGGAGATCTTCTGGCAGAAGCTGGACAGCAATTTGAGACTCAGGGAACGATTGGACGATGTGACGGAAAAATGATTTTAATGATGAGGCGCTGAGGACTTGTGCTTTAAGGATTTTATTGTTTTATTGCTTTTATGTGGTTTATATTATATGTAATGTTTTGACTGTATTTTATATTGTGGGACATTGATTGCCAACTGTAAACTGCCTCGAGTCGCCTCTGGGCTGAGAGGGGCGATATACAAATATAGTAAATAAATAAATAAATAAATAAATAAATAAATAAATAAATTTGTTGGGCGTTCAGCATTCATTTGCTGAAGATGGGATTGGATCAGAAGATATGTACAAGATCTCTCCAGCAATATGATTCTATGAACCAAGCAATGCCATGAGATGAAACCTCACCTAAATTAAATCAGAAGCCAATTCTAGCCCTCATTCCTGATTATTGTCAATTATTACTTTTAGACCACTAGGCTTTCGACATAATATTTCTTTGGTTGAAGCAGACCTTACATCCAAGCACTTTCACTCCATCCCAATTTCTAAAGTACTTAAAGTACTTGCCCTAAGCTGGGCACCAGTTCCAATTTACCTTCAGGTCTTCTGGGATGAAAACTTTGCGGGCTTTTTTGATCATCGGCTGTGGCTTGAGCTCTTCCTCAGAGAACTTGCGCTTACGAGGGTCAAACATCTCCTGGCCAGGAATGCTGGAGAGGGCGAGATCGGCTGGGTCGGGTTCATACCCCACTGGAACCTGAATGGTCTCTGGATCAATGGGACTTGGGGTGTTGCGATTTGTAGGCAAGATCTGGCCTGCAGAAGCAAACAGATAAACCAGGTGGTGAAATGAAATGAAAGTAACATGTCTAGATGTAGCAAAATAATACCTATTACATTCTATATCAGTGGTTCCCAACCTGTGGTCCATGGACTACCAGTGTTCCACAAGAAATATGGTCTGTGGCCTTACCATTACTACACCACTGCCTCGAAACCATGTGACAACAAGAATGATTGATCTTGCAAAACCCTCTTATAGTGCTGAGGCAATGGGGATGTCAGGAGGGGAGAGGCTGACTACCCATGAAAGATTACTACTACCACATCAGCTCTAGATTAATAAATATGGTTTTCTATGGGTGAGCAGATGGCAACTACTGGGTGGCAGATGTTCTGTATCAGAAACTAGAGCTAATGTGTCTATCCAATACAATGTTCTGAATCAGCACCAGAAAAAACCAAATCAAATTTAAACTTAACCAAAAACTGATTCATAAGTCTTTTGGTACTAATGTTGGAGAGTGGTCCCTGGTCAAAGTGGTCCCTGCTCAAGTGTTCCTTGGTCAAAAAAAGGTTGGGAACCACTGCTCCATATGCTTCTAGTACTTTTATCAGTTTACAACTTCCTTTCTTGGCCTTCCAATATGGCCCTTCCTGGGACCTCTTCACACAGAACAATGCTCCGTGTCCTCCTGTTTGTACTATGTCCTGCAATGAATGTGACCATTTTCCTTGGAACCATTACTTCACTGTTACTTGAGAGAGGCCGAAACATGGAAGGCTCTAGTTATATAGGACAAGCTCCTTATCGTTCCTTTCTCTAGTAATTTAAGTATCGCATGACTCTCCATATCTGAGGGAACAGCATATGTGGTTTCCTTCATCCAGTGCTGATAAAATATGTCCTCTTCAGACGTCTTCTACAACCGCCACAATTTTTGGACCAGATGTCCTTGATTGAAATAAGACTCAGTATTATCTGGAGTTTCACACACAGACTCTGACAATACCCCCCCCCCCCCGAAATATGGGGGATGCTCAGTATAATTGAGTAATGAAACATCTGGAACTTACTGAGACATAACACAGTCTTTCTGTGAAAGAAATATAATGCTTTAATTGCTTTTTATATTTATAGGAGTTATGCCTATAAAATCATGCAGGAGGATTATATTATACCATTAAAACACTGGTTTCTGACATGTGTTGTGTGAATGCCTTGAGCTATTGTAAGTGTTTAGGAGACAGCAAGGTAGATGGGAAGAAAACATATCTCCCAACTATACAAATTTGACGGGGACAGTCTCGTGTCTCTTTTCTTCCTTTTTTATAGTTGCTTTTGAAACATCCCATTATAAGAATGGGATGATGGGTGCAAGGCCTCCAGAAGAGAGTGGCTAAGAATGAGCACAGGCTCATTCCCGCACATGGCTCCTCGTCCTGCTTCACTGTACACTGAAAACAGGACTGTCTCGCTATCCACTGTTATGCAAAGAGAGAAGTCCCAGCTGTGGTTTGACCTCCAAAACAAAAACAACAAAATCCAAAGTGCCATTATCTCACTTTAAACAAGTTCTTAGCACACTGAGTAATGATTTCTAAAATAACATGACATTCAAGGGGTGGGGGGGTGGGGGAGAAATCTGGGAATAAGGTGGAGGGAGTTTCTGTGAAGGGAACTGGAAGCAATGCTTTGTGGAATGTCTTCTGTGAAACGGCACCAGTGACATTTGCTTCCAGGAAGGGCTGGGGAACACTTGGGAGAAGAGACCGAGGTAGATCAAAAGCATATTTTTCTCCAGATTTTTTTTTCTAATGGGGTGAGGGCAAGGGATTCAATTGTTGCTCCTTGTACCATTAACAGAAAGTTTCCTTCTCACGCTGTGGGCCGTGGCACTTGACGCCAAGCGCTGAAAACTAGGTATATCCTGTTGAGACTTCATAAATGTTATTTTATTACTTCAGTGGTCTATTGTAGTAAGGGAAGAATTAGAAAGTGATCTTTGAAAACGGCACATCTTTTTTTTCTTTAGTTTGGTATATAGAGAGAAAATATGTGAACGCCAGAAATCAATTTCTCTTTATCAGGTTCCTTATATTCAGTAGAAACCATTCTGTTTTTTTTTTTTGTTTTTTTTTTTTTTGTATAGATTCACTAACAAGGATACAAGGGAATGAACTGCAAACCTTGGTAAGATGAGAAAGCTATGATAAACATGCAGTACCAAAAGGATTGTGAGTTTAACAAAAAGATACCTGCCAAGAATTCACAGCCCAAAAGTATCCATCTATGTGTTACTTGAACCTGCTCAAGCAAATACAATACCTTTCTATACCCAGTTGTTCCTATATATGGGTATACACATCGTTGTTGTTGGTGTCCCTGGCCCACTCCCACTGTGATACTGGCATGTCTGTTAAGCCTTCCATAGAACCCATACCAGGTCTCCTGTGTTATTTTTAGGAGCTTACATTCATTCCAGTCCAAGGTGGTTCAAGGGAGGACAGTGTACAAAAGGTCATATGTCAAGCAAGAAAAAAAATCACAAGACCCCACAGCTGTGACAACATCCAGTACAAAAGGGAGGGATGGATTGAAGACCGAGGCGGCTGCTGGGGACAACTGGGCAGCAGATCGAGGAAAAACTGTGGGGCTTCTTTCCAAAGCTAAGGCAACTATTGGGTTCCCCTCTGGGAGCCCATTATCCTGTAGCATCCATAATAATAATAATAATAATAATAATAATAATAATAATAATAAGAAGAAGAAGAAGAAGAAGAAGAAGAAGAAGAAGAAGAAGAATTTGTAGCCTGCCCTCTCTCCCCGAGGAGACTTGGGGCAGCTTCCAACATAATAGGCAAACATTTAATGCCTGTATAAAACAGAAGTAAAAATATCAACAGCAAAACATAAAATAAAAACCACCTTGAGTCACCTTCGGGCTGAGAAAGGCAGTATATAAATATGGTAAATAAATAAATAAATAAATACATACATACATACATACATTACACAAGTTAAAACAAGCAATTTAAATAACAATTAAATAATTAGCATTTAAAACATTAAAAGCCAGGTAAGATAGCACATCAAATCTATTTTCTATTCACTTTATCAATGTTATAAGTTCTATTCCTCTTTTTCATCATATGCTTGAGAGCATAGAAGTGTTTTAAGTTGCCTTTTAAAAGTAAATAAGGAGGGGGCCATTTTGATCTCCCTGGGGAGAGCATTCCAAAGACGTGGGGTGACCACCAAGAAGGCCCCCTCTCTTGTTCCCACCAGCTGTGCTTGAGACGGAGGTGGGACTGAGAGTAGGACCTCCTCAGCTGTTTGAAGATCTAGTGCAGGTTTGCAGAAGGAGATGCAGTTTTCTAGATAGCCTGGGCCTGAACTGTTTACTTCTCCTCTATCTGAAGCATAGTATGGTGACATCAAGAAACACAGAGAACCAAAGATTGGTTCACACTGCACAACAACAATTCTTTATTGATTAGTCAATTTTGACCATATCAAAACATGCAAAACATACAAAACATATACATACAGTAAAACCACATATGAACACAAGGCATCATGGCCTACTGGCCTGTCGACCCACTCCCAAATAATTGAGCAACTACAAGACAAAGAGGCTAAAAGATTAAAACTTGATTAATTCCTTAAAATAGGGTTAGGGTGGGGGGCATGGGTAGGTAAAACTAGTGGCGTGTCCATATTAAGTTTTTAAGTTTGAGTTTTGTTGATGGCAGCAAGGTCGCCTCTCTCTGCTTCCATCTTCTCACGGATGGCCAGCGCTTTTTGGGTAAAAAGGGTCAATTTTAAAATAGAGTTTTTATCTGAACCCTGAAGAAGGATGCGCAATTTCTCCTTATTTTCTGAATAAGTATGGTTCTCCAGCAGAGGCTCTAGGTAGTAAGACCGGATCCTGTTGTAGTAGGGACATTTTAAGAAAAAATGTTCTGAGTCCTCCACTTCTGCATCTACCTCACGGCACCCACAGGTTCTCATCGTGTAGGGGATATTCTGATGTCGTCCCAACTTGGACTTAATGTCGAGCTGCTCAAATCTAGCCCGGGTAAAAACTTTTCTAAGATAGAGTGGAAGTATAAAAGAGAGGTAAGGTTCCATGCCCACATTACATTTAAATTTGGCCAGGTATGGAGTGGCTCTAGCTTGCGCTATGTTCATTAGATCATTTTGTGCAGCAATGTCGAGAGCTCTTTGGTATACAATTGAGCATACATTTGCCCCAAAATTTGTTAACTCGTGGGGGGCGAAACCTAACCTGCTAACTGTGTGGCCAAATCTGCTAAGCCAAGATGACCACTCTTTGTGGTTTTCTTGTTCTAGAGGTCCACACTGCAGGAAATCACTGCATGATAAACACGATGCTCAGCAGCAGCAACTGTGCCATTTTTAAACCACTCTTAGATTATTGTTAAGACAGGTTTGACCATATTTTCAGGGCTCAGATGGGATTTCCTTCTGTTTCATGTGTCAAAGTGAGCCTGTTTGGGAGACAGCTGGTACTCAGCAGTTTTATTCAAAAGCCATGCTTTTTCAAAACATACTTGCAGATTGCCTGCCCGCAGAAACGTAAAGGTGCTGCAACGGCTATTGTTGTTCCCTTTTCACTTCATTGCTTATTGATCTCCTTATCTAAACCAAGCCTCTGGTAAACATAGAAATGACCAAAGGATTAGCACAGCTAACAGTGGAAAATGGTCTTCTCCATAAAGCTCCAGGACAATTGGCATCAACATATGAGCATCCGTATGAATCAACACATCCATCCTAGAGTGGGCGTTAAAGCGTGTGACTCCATGTGGGAAATCTAAGCTCAGGTTTTAATTGAGCTATAAAACTAATCAGGCTAAATGAAGTCTCTCAACCTGACCTACCTTCCAGGGTTGTTGTGAGGATAAAATGGAGAAGAGAGAGCAACACAGATAATGTGGGATTTTATTCAGCTGTGTGGAAGGGGCTTTAGTCTGCCGGATCACATCCCTAGAAATAATTTTCCAAATCT